AGGCTGCTGCTCCCCGCCTGCGTCCGCGCCGCCAAGGTGCGCCGCCTCCGCTGCACGCGCTGCCGCGGGCCCGTTGCGCTTCTCTCCTGCCTTTGCTTTTCCCTGGGCGGCAGCCTGCGGGCCCCGCCCTGCCCCCGCCCTGCCCACGCGGCCTCGGCCCCTGGCTGCGGCTGCCGGCTGTGGCCTTTAGACCACGCGGCCCTCCGGGGACCGCCTGCCCGAGGCGCGCAGGTGTGCACGGTGCTGGGAAAGGTGCCGACCCCAGGGGAGCCCTGACCCGGGAGAGATCCCGGCCGCTGGCGTGTCCAGTCCCGGGGCCTCTGCAGCTGGGCGGGGCGCGGTGGGGGCGGGGCCCCTGAAAGCCCGTGCCCCGCGCACCCCAGAGAGGAGGCTGCCGGGGCTGCAGGGTGCGGGGTCTCCTCAGGCCGCCTCCTCGGGCCTGAGCATCCAGAGGTGGGCGGTCAGTTCCAGCCCTGCGAGTCCGCCGGCAGTCCGCGCCGCGACCGGAGCTGCTGCCCCCGCCCCACGCGGCGTCAGCGTGGACGTCGCTGTGGCCTGCCGGCCTGGCCTGTGTCTGGGCCCCTCTGTGGTCCGGCGGCTCCCGGCACCCCGGCTGAGGGCGGGCACGGTGCCGTTCGGTGCCTCACTCTGGCCGATGGCCTGCAGGTCTGTGGCCGCTGGAACAGACCCGGCAGATATGGGCCAGACCCTGGGAAGGTGGTGTGGGGTTGCAGCAAGCCCAGCACCTGCCTGACACTGGGGTGCTGAGCCCCACACTGCCACGAGGCAGTCAGTGTCCCCCAGGCCCACACACCCTGTGCTCAGGGACAGAGGCAGGGTGGGGCCCGGGCTGTCTCGTCAGCCTCTGGGCCCCTGGTGGGGGAGGACACCCCTTCGGCTCAGCCTCCAAGTGGCCCCGGGGCGTCTGGAGACCATGCTGGCTGCGGGGTTTGCTCTGTGCAGGTCCTGGGGGTGCCGCTGGCCGCCAGGCTGAGGTCTGTGGGTGTGGGAACCGTCCCCCCAGAGGTCGGGCCTCCTTGGGCGGCCTCTCTGGCCCAGGGCTGCCCGGGCCCTGCTGTCAGGGCCCTTGCCCACCTCCTGCGAGTGGCCCCTCCCTGCCTGGCCCTGGCACTGGGGTGGGAGAGCTCCCCCCCCCCGCTCTCCGGCCCCCCCCCGCTTCCTGTGAGCCCCTTCTCGCGGTGCGAGTCCAAGTGAGGCTGATGGGGGTGTGGGAGGCCGGCCCTGTCCCCTCGCCCTCCCTGATGCTGGCCGGCTCTTGGGTGTGAGTGAGCCCCGGGCTCGGGGCGCACGGTCCCTCGGCTCTGGGTGGGGGCAGTGAGCCCCGGCAGCCTGCTCCGCAGACGTCCGGGTGAGCAGGGGCCACAGTCCAGCAGGTGGACACAGTAAGCCGTCCTCACAGCTGCAGGCCAGGCCGTGGGGACCCCAGGGTGCGTGCAGGGCACCCCAGGACCCAGCAGGACCCCCATGTGGCCTCTGCCCCCGGCTGCCCACTCCTTCGGACGGCCTGTCGGCTCTGTGTTTGTGCGGCGACTGGCTGCCCAGGGAGTCCGGTCACCAGGGCCGGCGATGGCCGGTGTCGGCGCCCCGCCTGGGGGCAGGGCGGGCGCCTCCCACGGGCCAGCTGCCTGGGCCCGGCGCTTCACTTGACCGGTCCCTGATGCGTGGGTGACTCGTTCCCTCCTCGGCGAGGGAGGGGCTGCCCCCAGGAGGCTCCGCACTGGGCCCGGGGTCCGGCCCTGGCGTCCGTCACAGCTCGCCCGCGGGCGTCTGCGGAGCCGACGGGCCGCTGGCCCTGGCCCACGGCGCCCCGACACCTGCACGCCGCCCCTGCGCTGCCCCAGCGCGGCGAGGCGGGAAGGGACGCTGATGGCATTCCCGGGCTGCGTCCACAGGGGCAGGTGTCTGGCCAAAGGAGGCGACTGGCCGGCCCGCGCGTGCTCGCTCCGTGCGGTGGGGGGCTCGTGCCCCCCCACTGCCGTCCTCACAGCCGGTGGGCCCGGAGCCCCGCATGGAGGGGAGAGGACCCTACCGCATCTACGACCCGGGGGGCAGTGCGCCTCCAGGAGACGCGTCCGCAGCCGCCGAGCGCCTGGCGGAGAACTCCAGACTGAAGGAGAAGACGCGAGGCGAGCAGATGCCGGGTGAGGCGTCCCCGCCCACGCCTGGCCCCAGGCCGCTCCCCGCGAGCCCCGTCCTCCCGGCAGGGGTGGCATGGGGTGTCCTGAGGGCGGCTTCTCCTACCCAGGGTCTCCCCGACCCAGGCGCCCCCTGAGCCAAGGCTGGAGCCTGAGTGAACCCCTGGCTCTTTGGGGACCCCAGGCAGGAAGAGGCTGTCAGGTGCCCAGGGTCTGTCCCAGGTTCTGTCCACTCCTGGTCCCCCGACTTTGGACGCTCCTCCTGCTCTCGTCTGCGTTGGGTGGGGCAGGGTGCCCTGCGCCCCTCAGCTCCCGAGGGAGGCGTTGGGGTGCAGCCCGGGGCCTGGCGCGTGGGCAGCCCGCGGGCGTCGGGGACGGAGCTGGCTCCCGTGACCCTCGCTCCCCCTGACCCTTGACCCAGGAGAGCTCCTGGGGGAGTCGCAGCTGGAAGCGTCCAGGCTGCGGCAGAAGGCGGAGGAGCTGGCCAAGGGCAGCGAGCCCCCCTCGCCACCGCCCCCCTGCTTGCCCTGCCCCGACCGGCTGGCCGCGCTCACAGGTGCGGGGAGCCCAC